GGGGCATTCGAACCCACATGGACCGCAGGGTGAGCGCCCCCTGCTGGCCCCACTAACACCTCTTCCAGCAGCAACCTTAGTTTTTCCCAGGAGGTCTCCCCTCCAGGTACTGACCAGGCTCACACCTGCTGAGCTCCAGTGGGCTGCCAGCTGTGAGTGGCAGAGTAATATAGCTGCTGGCCATATAAAGCAAGGAATCTCCATTCTTCTCGCTCAGAGGCCTCATCTGTAGCCACTGCTTTCAGGAGAGAACACCTACAAATGGAAGAACAGGGAGACACTGTCACTGGCAATTCAATTGGCCAATTGGCGATAAGGGATCAATCTCCAAGGACCTTGGTTCGAGAGTCAGCTGAGGGCCTTGTGAAATATCGGTCTAGAAATGGGTCCACATTCTGCAAAAAAAAGGCACCAGTCAGGCACCGCTGAGCGGATTCTATGCTGTAATATGAGGAGGAAAACATCAGTGAAGGCCCATCCCTAACCTGCGGTGTAGACGCTTGGATACTTCTGATAAAACTGAAGAGAAGGGTGTCCTGTGTAGCTCATGCAAAAAAAAAACCTTTATTGCAATATCAACATTGTGCAGTCCTAGCGGGTTCCACTGTGGACTTGTGTTTATAGAAATCTTTAGTTTGCATCACATCAGAACTAAGTGTAGAGCTTCATAGCACCGTCACAGCGACGTCAGGAAGCCTCCTTCTTCACAGGAGCGTCTCTGGCCATCTTCCATGCCCTCGCTGGCTACCGGGCTGAGCTCCAGCCTGTTTGGCACCGTTCCCCGACCGAGGTGTCTCCTGCTCCGTCTTTCCATCCTGTTTAAAACCCTCCTGTCACTGCGGACCGAGTGCTGAAGGCCAAACGATCTGCCCCCATCAATCAAGTGCCACAAAACTCTCTAGAACACACAAAGTGTACAGTTACAGGAAAAAAGAGCAAGCAAACAAAACAAGCCTTTGAAATGGAGTAGTGACCCCCTGAACAGTCACAGAGGGGCGCCTGCGAGTTGGATCTCTGCTCCGTCTGGGCTCCTGTCCTTGGCTGGAGGGAGCATCAGCGCCCTCTGCTGGTGGGGCCGAGTCGGGCTCTTCTGTCCCAGAGCTGGATACGCGCAGAGAGTGATGAGGAGGCTGGTCACTCTGACCGAGTGTCCGTGTCTGCGGCAGCCGGTACTCACAGTTCCCAGGGAGTGTGGGAGGGTGGCCAGGACGAGGGAGGGGTGTCACTGGGCAGGTTGTCCAGTTTGGGGGGGGGGGGTTGTTTGCTGTGTGAGGATGGAGTTGTCGCCCCAGCGCTGGCAGTGGTGCAGACAGAGTGTGTGGTTTTGGGGGGCAGCAGGGTGTCCTGGGCCTCACTCGAACCTGCGCAGGTGGTTATAGAGCGACTGCACGTAGGTGAACACACACATGGGGTCTGGCTTGCGGCCCATCACCAGCATGTCCTCCACCTCGATCAGCCGGTCACAGGCGGCTCTCTCTCTGCAGAGACACGGGACAGCGGAGTCAGGAGAGACTGACTGACACAGTGACCAGCTAACACACTGAC